TGACACCATCAAACGTTACTATCGTGATGGTTTCCCCGTATCCGATCTAAAAGAATTTGTGGGCACCCGCACCGAAGAGGATCTCACTTCGGGTGTATTTATGAATAATATGGATGATTTTGATAATAGCAGTTTCTTAGATGTGATGCGCAAAGTTTGCTGCTGTGGCTGTTGTCCTAGTTCAAGATCTAACCAGACTACTGGTCCCACAGGTTATACCACCCTGACAAGTATTATCAAATGAATACAAGTGATTTTTGTTTTCGATTTTTTGTGTATGTAGTTTAAATGTTATTATTTAGTTAATTGTGTTAATTTCTTCTTTTTTTTGAGCTCTTTTGTTTAAAAGTAAGAACATGCTTTTGTAAAATTTAATTACTAATTAGTTTTAAGGTTTGATATTAACCTTCCTGTAAATGTAAAAAACAAAGAAGCTAACAAAACTATTTGCTTCACAAATATATTAGCCAAAGGATCTTGAAATATTTTTCGAATTCATTTTTGAGGAAAATATTAAATATATTTATTAGTTAATAGTAAATAAAACAATAATATTATATTTAAAATGTATGTTTTATGAAGAAATGTTGATAAAATTTCACATACAAATAAAAAAATATAAAATTTTACCCAAAACTGTTTGTTTTCATTTCACCTTTGAATTGAAATCTGGCAACCCTGGTAAAATAAATTATATTTATTTTATTGCAACAAACTTATATCTTGTTGCAATACCATAGTCAACAATTCTTGAATTTTTCCAAAATTTAGATATGTTTTTAATAAATGAAACATTTATAAAACCTGGCAACCCTGCCCAATAAAATGTTAAAGCTTTCTACTTGCCCTATTTATAGTCTATGGTTTCACCTTAGTCGGTTTATTACGTCTGGAGATGTCTTACTTTAATAAAATGTTTAACATCTGTTGACAAACCTACAATTTGGAGCTAGTTATACAACCTGGCAACCCTGCCAAGTTATTTTTTCAGAAAGACTTATATATCCTTTAAACATTGCTTTTGGTTTGATTAAAATCGGTCCAGTAGTTTCCGTGATATTCCACTTTTAAATAATCCCAATTTATCGTAGATTTTTTGAAGATGGCAACCCTGGAACTAACTGCGTTCAGCACCATCTATTGTGGACATGATTACCTTAATCGTTAACTTGGGTTCTATTAAAATCGTATCAGATATTGGGTACTTATAGCCCATGAAATATTTTCACTAATTTTGTTGCTGTATTTTATATAAGAGAAACTTGGCAACTCTGGCAAAATTAATTTTTAAAAACCTCAAATCTTGCTACTTCCCTGGATCTAAAATAAATATTTATAGGTGCAGTATTCTTGAAGTTATTACAATGTTTTGTTAAGTGTTAAAAATCTTGAATATTTTAAGTATTTATAGAACCTGGCAACCCTGCATAATAAAATTTTAAAGTTGAGCACTTTCGCTAAACATAGCCTTTGGTTCCAGCAAAATCGGTCTATTGGATCGTAAGATATTTCAGTTTAAAAAATGGTTTGTCCATCTCATGACAAACATACAATTTTGACCTATTTAGGCAACCTGGCAACCCTGCCAAATTAATTTTTCAGATAGCCTTGTAGTTCCTTTATACATAGCATTTGGTTTCATTAAAATCGGTCTACTAATTACCGAGATATTCCACTTTTTAAGAATCCCACTTTTTCTTTGATTTCTGAGAGTTGGCAACCCTGTAACGACCTGTGGTCAGCGCCATCTATTGAGCGACATGATTTTTTAATGGCAAAACAAAAATTGAGCCACCAATAGATGGCGCTAAATTTAGGCTGAAAACCAGCATTGCCAACATCAAAAAATAAGCATTTCTTTAGCAGCATTGCCAGATCAAAATTTGCTAATTTACTGCATTTATAACGACTATTTGTAATTCAAGTTGAATTTTAAAGTATTTAACTGTTATTTCAGTGATTTTAATGGGATTTTTGGGTGGTTTTGAAAGAATTTAAAGGGTATTTTGATATATTGTAGGAATTAGCTTGAAAATATCCCTATTTGTGGTATAAAATAGATAAATAAAACACTTGTTTTTAGGAATTTTAAAGTAAATTTCTATTGTATTTATTTGAATTTTACAAGATTTGCATAATTTTTAATAAGTTAATGGATATTTTTAATGTTAAATCATCTTGTGCTGCCTAGCTAGTGCTAACGATATCTTTCCGGAACATTCCAGTCCATGCAAAAGTGATCTCAACTTTGTTTAGCCAAAATAAATACGGGAAGCCTTGTAGATGTTATGGGCCAAACAACCTTCACATATTTTTAGGCCTAAATCATAAAAATCATTAGCAATCTCCCACTGGATACTGGCCGTCCGATGTTGTCTAGAAATTAAAGCATTTATACAGTAGAACTTGTAAACACTTGTTTTAATAAAAACATTTCGATTTTTTCATATTTTTATTTATTGAAACTTGAAAATATTCATACTTTTCATATATGGCAATTCATTTGAGAATAATTACAAAAATAACTAGAATTTATATGGTCATCGTTTTTAACATTTTGCATGATTTTTTTTATATATATATATTCTTTTTATATATGTAGTTACAAACTTTACAACATTTACACACACATTTTACAACAAATATAATTATTATATGAAACTAAACTTAAAAAATACAAGCAAAATTTGATGAACATTTGTTTTGTTGAAACATTGCAATGTAATTTTTTTTTTTTTATTTTTTTAATAAACTATTATAACATACTTATAGAAGATTTTATTTAAATTACAATACAAACATTTTTTTTATTATTTTTATGTGAAAATATTTCTAATAATTACATACATTTAGTAGATTTGTTATGCATGTATGTTTACTACAAATATTTAATTGTTTTTCTTTTAATTTATTTATTTAATTTTAAACATTTCCTAAATAGATGATTTAAAAATTACAATGATAGTTTTCTTATAAAGTAAAATTTGTGTTTTTTTTTATTATTTAAAACTAGAAAACAATAATGTATACATGTAGACTATTTATACACATATACGCAGAAAGTTTTAGGTTGAAATATACTGTAAAATAAAACTTGTGATCTGAGCAGGCTATTCGCTTTATAAAAATTTTTAGGTTTTATTTTTAAATGCATTTTAAAATTAATTAATAATTATGGATAATCAAGTTTAAATTTTTTTACTTTCAAAGTTTCTTTCTATTTTTAAATAATTTTTTCATGAAAAGCTTTTTAACTAAATTAAAGAGAGCTTTTTTCTAAAGCGTATTTTTTTCGAAAAATATTAGTTTGCAGAAGATTTTCTATAAAAAAGAGCTTTTCTAAAATATTTTTTTTTTAAATTAAAGATTTTTAAGTTTATTTTTTCAAAAAAGCTTTTTTAACTGATTTTTTTAAACAAACCGATTTAACTGATTTTTTTTAACATATCATTCCATAATAGTTTTTTTTTCAAACAGATTTTGCTTTTTCCAAAAAGAGCTTTTTCGAAAATGAGCTTTTTGTTAAAGATAAAATTGTTCAAAGTTTTACTCTTCTAAAACTAAAATACACAAAAAGCTTTTCTTTCCAAAGAGAAACTTTAGTTTAAACAAAAGTTTTTCTTCAAAAAAACTCCTTCTGTTTCAAAATAAGCTTTTTAAATGAAATTTGGGTTAAATTTAAAGTTGCCTTTTAAGACTATTTTAAAATTTTCGTATAATAAGAAAAAAGTTTTATAGTTTTCATTAACCAATTTAAAATTTCTAAAAGAGCTTAACAGAGAAATAAAGAATTTGTCTGCCTTAGCCTGCCAAGATCACAAACTTTTCAACGGTATATATAACAACATTATTATTATTATTATAATAAACATAATTATTATTTTGACTAAACTAAACAAACATACAATTACTCTCACAGATAACAACAATACATATATACACGTACACATACACAATTTCTATTTTACAAAAGCATACACAACATTTTTGATTATCTAACTAAACGTTATAATTCATACTTATTAAATATTATTAACAACTAACCACAATATTATAATTTTCTAACAACAATTTGTTTTTTTTTTTTTAATTGCGCGATTAATTTATATTTGTTAAAGGTTTTTTTTTTTGTCTAAAGAAAGAAAATTCTTTATAGTCAATCAAAATCATCAATTGAAAGGAATTTATATGAAAATAACAATTTAATCAATATCACTTGAAATTGATTGACTTGTTTGATGGTTTAAAAAAAAAACTTATAAGGAATTTTATTTAATTAGCTTGTTTTCTCTTATCAATTAAACACACAATCTTAAAGTTATTTATAATATGTATATAATTTATAGGTATGTACAAAGGCCTAAAAATTGTGGATTTATAATTGAAGACAAAAAAAAAAAAAAGAAATACAACTAAATAATAGTAATAAAGCTAAAATTAAAATAATTACAATTATATTAAATAAACAAGAAAAACAAAATAAAAATATTTTATCTGAATGGCTAAATTTTTACTAAAATTAAATATTTTATTGACTTGTAGTTTTTTTTTTGTTTGTTTAATGAATGTGAAGATTTAAAATTTTCTTATAATAATCAAAAAAACAATTGTTTGTTTTACAAATTGTGTATGTACGTATATTTTTTTAATTTTTATCTATAAATTAATGAAAAAATAATAAACTAAAAAATAAAGAAAATGTTATATAAAAAATACATTTATCTTTGTTTGGTGGAAAAGTCTTATAATTTCGCATTATTTGAAATATTGTTATAAACCCTTATAAACAGTTTTAAAACCAAACAAATTTTATAAAGAAAATGTTTTATAAAATTGTTTAGTTTAAAAACTGTTTATTTAAAATTAAAATAAAAATCCTAATTTTTTTTTAGAATTTTTTTACAAGTGCAATTTTAACGCTTAAATTGTAATAAAATTTAAATTTAAAATTATTTAAATTATATAGCTAAAACATTTAAAAATGTTACGCCTTATGTGTGTGCTTTTTAAATCAGTTTCTTTTTTTTTTTTTTTTTTTGGAAGGGATACTTTTTTTTGGATGATGAGGAGAAAAAAATTAGCATATAAATAATTATATTAATAAAAAAATAATAAACTAGTCTAGAGACTGTGACTAGACACAATTCTACAAAACGAAAAATGTTTCCATTCTTAAATTAAAAACAAACATACTCTTACAATACGTATTATGAATTTTGTTTCCTTTAACTAAACTATGCTCTCTCGGTCTCTTGAAGAACCGCTGATGTCACTAAAACCGGGCACCCCTCTAACAGCACTTGGTAGTATACCCACTCGTCTGAGGGAAGCTTCACTGGACTTTTTTCCATTCCCATGGAAAATACTTACTAAACGATCTAAAATTGACGATGAATTGCCAGAATCGCCGCCGCTGGTGTTATTGCGAGAAGATTTCTTGCCATGCGTTTTATTGGAACTACTGCTGGCTTGACGGCCATCAATGTCTTCAGCATAGCTGACACTGTTGCCCGCATGATGTTCTATATTCTCCAAGGAGTGCCATCGTTTGGCTTTCTCCATGCTAGTGGGTGTCGTCAGAGAAGCTTGTCGTTGCAGTAGAGGTGATTGCACGTCTTCCTCAATGGTCATGCCGCCATTACAATTGTTATTTAGGTGCTTGTAGGGCAGCATGGATACTCCAGTACCACTACTAACCCCACCTATGGAATAACCACCACCACTGCGTCGCCTGTTGAGCAGGGAGGAGCCTACCGGTACAATTGTAGCTGAACTACGCGCATTTATATCGCCATTGTCTCTTAACATCAGTAAGCCCACATCATCGCCCTCATATTCCTCTAAAGCAGGTACATTGTTCGTTTCATTTGTAGCTTCGTTGTATCTCTGATCCTGAGCCGTCTCTTCGTCCGTTTCACCGTTGGGATTATCGTTTATCAGTGAGACCCCGGTGTCCAAAGATCTCGAGTTGTTTTTGCTCAACTTTGAGGGCGGCAGTATCTTTGGCTCGTGCCGTTTGCGCAGTTGAAATGGTATGGGATCAAGGGATATGGCTTCACGTAAATTATGGTGAGCAATCACAGTACTTCCTAAAATAATACCACTTCCATACATATCCTGAGTAGAGTTGAGAGAATTGACAATTCGATGCGGGCGCACCATGGCCAAAGGTTTGTGCGAGGGACTAGATAGGCGCGATGAGCTAAAGGCCGATCCAATACCGCCATTTACACCCACGCCGTTATTATCACAGTTTATTTCGGAATGCTCCAGAGTGCTGTGCGATGCCAGTGAAGCCTCCGCTATATTATCGGAGTTAACAACACCGCCACTACCATTTAAACCTCCACTGCCGGTAGCTCCACTGCCACCGTAGCCACCCATGTATTCTGGTATGCTATTGCCTTGGAAATTCCCCACTCCATTGGCCGCTGGACGTTCGTAGCGTTTTGTAGACAAGCGCGGCGATTCCCGTGCCATCTGATACGTTGAACCCTGAAGACTATAATTGGACTCTACATCGGCACGCGGTACACTAGACTGGCGCCTTGAGCCGGCACCAGCATAATGCATACCCACTATACTGGGCTGTCGGGAGTCAGAAAATTTCGGACTCTTGCGTGGACGGCAAAACAAAGGTGGTGGCAAATCTGTCATATCGATCTCTTTCTTTTGAATGGCTTTCTCGGTGGCTCCCACTAACCAATAAGTGACTACTTCTCCCTTGCCCTTCATATTGACCAGGCCACGTTTTTCGGTAACATAACCCTCCAACTTATCTAAGGCATCTTTACACTTGCTAGATATGTGTATTTTCAAAGCCTCTCCATTTGACTCCATGCGAGAGGCGGTGTTAACCGTGTCACCAAAAAGACAGTAGCGAGGCATTGTTAGACCCACTACACCAGCCACCACCGGGCCCGTATGCATGCCAATACGAAGTTTTAAGACCTCATTTGGTCGATGGGCAATTCTATGTTGTTTCACAGCCTGTAAAAGTTCCAAAGACATGGAAGCAATTTCGCCAGCATGTCGATCGCCATTTTTAATGGGTAAACCTGATACCACCATGTAGGCGTCACCAATTGTTTCCACTTTATAGACATCGTAGCCACGTATGATACGATCGAATACCGTGTAGAGATCATTAAGAAAGTTTACCACCTGCAGAGGAGTGCTCTCGGCTGACATAGCCGTAAAGCCAACAATGTCACTGAAATAGATGGTGACCTGAAAAAATCAATTAAATGTTAAGTAAAATAGCTATGCTAATATTAAATTTAAGAAGAACCAACCAAATCATAGGATACCGGCTCCACACCCAAGCCCATGGTTAACTTTTCGGCTACAGATTGTGGCAACATACGATGCAAAAGATCTTCAGTTTTACGCTTTTCTTCACACAACAAACGCGTACGTTCGGTAACAATATCCTCCAAATTATTGGCATATTTCTCCATCATTTCCATCATTTGATCCATAATATTTTTCGTTTTACCACCACGCATTTTCTTCAGGCGGGTTCTATTTGAGAATTTTGATATACTATTGTTTTTTAGATGATTGTTGTTAAAGTTATTTACCTTATAGTGGGAAAATCAGGTCTCACATCTGGATCTTCATGCCAGCAATCTGTTATACAACTTAAAACATAATCAGGACACAGCTCACCCTCTATAATGCACTCCAATTCGGGACGAAAAGGCACATCGCCCTTAATGGGTTTCTTCTTAACCAAATCCACAATTTCCTTGGGCTCAAACAGTGTTTGACCAAAGGGACCCTTACGACTAAATATTTCATACATTATTATGGCAAAAGCATAAACATCTCCCTTTTGAGAGCCATATACATGAGGATTTCTAAGAATTTCGGGAGCTTTCCAAAATTGATCTATAGGAAAATTATGTGAATTAGCTTATTTTTAATGTTATGCTCCCTAAAGTTACACTTACTTCTATAGTGCTGATGTTCGCCTATAGACTCACTTTCGGCACAGTGTCTTAGATCATGCAAACCAAAGTCTGTCACCTGCAGCATCCATCTTGAAGTGACCACACAATTTGAAGACTTGAGATTACCATGATAAACCAAAGACGAATCATGTAAATAAATCATACCCTAAAAGGTGATTAGAAGAAGTCCATTCAGATTGATATATCTAGTTAAATGAGTGTTAAGAAATTTTACCTTAATGAGATCATGTATGAGAGAAGCTATAAACAGATCATCCAATTTGATATCTTCATTCTCGATGATGTCATACAAACTGCCCTTGGCACAATAATCAGTGACTAGTAATATACGCATGGGCTCCACACAGGCTCCAATGAAACTGTTGACGTTATCGTGTCTTAATTCACGCAACAAACGCATTTCTTTCATAATTTCCCTTGACATATCCTTTTTGCGGGGAAATTTCAGCTCTTTTATACGCACCACAGCGCCGCGCAAACGTGCCGTGGATGTAAACACTTGATTTGAGCAGCGGGAGCCAAATGATTGGGCACTAACCAAACTTAGCTAAAGTTAGTGTAAGAAATCATAATTTAAGGTTATAAAACTCAAAGAAATTTTTCATTCCTTCTTACCTTACTGGGCGATGAGACAATATCATTGCCTGAATAACCCTTTATTTCGGATATATCAATTTTCCATAGAAGACCTTCAATTTCCAATTCGATCTTCCATTTACGATAGATACTCATGGTCACAACACCGGCACAAAAGAGTAATAAACCCAAAATACCAGCTGCCACCAAAGAGGTAATATGACGATCATCCTTTTTACACAATTCATTGGCAAAACCACACATGGGTTCATCAAACGGCCGATCACCACCCGAAGGCCAATCCACACGCATAGAACCATTGATAAGTTTGTATTCCTAGACAATTATAAACAAATTTTATATTTGAAATAATTTTACAACTAAAACATTTATATATTTAATAATGTTAAGATGATTTCAACAAAAAAAAGATGAGTTTTTAAAAATATGTGAAAAAATTAAAACAAGAACAAAAAAATGACGACTCACTCACTGGAATATCAGATCCTTGTTGAAAATGTGCCACAGGTACCATATGAAAATTACATGATAGATTCTCACGATACGAATACTTAAACGGTTTATAGGCTAAGACAGAGAAATTGCCCTCGGAATCACCATTATTATCGATTTTAATGGTGGCGCCAGTAACACCTTTTTTTTTTGGAATAGTAATGGGATGTTAAGTAATTTATATATTTTAGAAAATTTCAATAAACTTACTTTTATAGGTTCCATTTTTGATAATAGTTTCAATTATTTTACTGCCATCTCTGGCTATATTATAGACTTCTTCATCCGTTAAAGTTTGCGTTTTCGAGGCATTACGCAGTAGTTCATCCAAAGCCCAGGCATACAATTTGGCAGAATCATAGAGGTAGGCGGCATATATAGAAACAAACTATGGAATTATTTTACATCCATTTTAAACAGCATTACATGCGTAATTTGCCAAGGCGAAGTAGAATATAAAGAAAAAGATTGTAATATTAATTATAAAAATATCTACATACATTTAGTTTAGAATGAAAAGATGTTAAGTTTAATTGTGAATTAATAACTAAAGTTTTTAATTCCCTTCAAAACTTATTTATTGAACTAAGAAGTTCGTTTAAAATAATTTACTTTCTTAGCTCTTTTGTAAATATTGTTAAAAAAAAGACTTAACCCTTTTGCCTTCTAAGGTCCATGATTTGCATTTCCTTGTAATGAACTACAAATAAAACTTATTTTTTCAACTCAATGTAATTGTCAGTAGAGGCAAAGATACGGAAATAAAGAAAAAGTATTATAAAACAAAAAAACACACCTTATTTTTTGCAATTAAAGAAAGAAAGACAGAGATATGAAAAAAAGTAAACTTTGAGCCATGTCTCCTTGAAAATCATAACGTTGTCTGTCTGGCATTTTACAAATAAAATATGTTCTACCTGTATTTATGGCCAGTAAGCAATTATGATATTTGCTTAAAACTGACATTTCGACAAAAAACAAAAAAAAACTTAACAATGTTTGTACAAGAAATGCAAATTCATTAACATTTACTAGCTTTCACTACTTTATCTGTTAAGCTAATATTTACCTTAAATAAATATTTTATGTTTTATTAATTAAACAGAAAATTGAAGTAATTAAAAATGTTTAGAAATATGTATGTAGTAGTTACCTTAATAAAATTATTGTTTAAAAATATGTTTGGCAATGTGAAATTAAACGGTTCCATTAAATTGTACTCTCTCACTTTGGCGGTGAAGTCCTCATAGCTGTCAGTGGGTGGGGTGGAGGCAACCACTAGAAGACTTCTGGCACGTTGTATTAGATTATCGGTTTCGCCACAACTTTTCATATGCTCGATGTGTTCCGGTTTACGCAAATATTTTTCGGCTTCTCTAATGTGAAGTGATGTTTGTATGACTAAATTACAACAATATAATTTCTTAACTTTGCAAGCAGAGCAAGGCACAGTGATCTTGCAATCAATTAAATTCAAGATAACTGGCGCTGATTTGTTTGCAAATAAAATACACACACACACTTGGTGTAATACTACTTACTTTGGTGTGTAGGTCATCATATCAACAAATATCACCATGTATTCACCTTTGGAGAAAAGATTTGCCGTGTCCATGGAGGCCATAAATTCCACTAAAGCATTAGCACTGCCCAAGAAAACATAGATGCGTGTACGATTCATGGTGTTTTGTACAATCTGCATAAAATAATGTTTTTTGAATTAAACAAATAGTATTAAAATGAAAATGTTAATACACTACCTGATACCAGAAACCCGTACGACAGCAGGCCAACATTTCCTCACAACATTTGGCCATATTATCAATAAACGATTCCTTGTGATTAATGGTCATGTTCTTTTTCTGGGCCTCTTGTTTCAGCAAATCGGCTACCATGCTCCAACTTTCCTCGTGCAATATGGAAAACTTTTTCCAGCCATAATAACGCAATAACGATATGACCGATTTAATTACCTACAAACAAACAGCATTATAAACCAAATTAAAACATTGTGTTCTTGGAGTAAAACAAAATGAAAATTAATAAACATGTTACCTGTGTATCTGGAGGTTCTGTACGTGCAAATGTGGGTATGGAGGAGGCTCGGTTTTCAGGACATTTCTGCAAAGTAAGAAAACAAAATTACTCTCACATGATTAACAATTAAAGTGAAATGTTGAAAACCAATGAATTTGTGGCAGCAATCCAGATTCCTTTGATTCATTGGTTATCAAATTGCAAAAAAAGATTAAATGCAAGCCTTACAACAAGTTGCAGTTCATTTCAAGGGATTATTTTTTTACATAAACAAGAAAATTAATTGAGTAATGAGTATGTATTTTTGCCTACAACTTATCATTTTATAAATGTTTAAAAAGAAAAGGAATTCCCATAATACATATTTGCGATAAAAAAACTAAAACAAATTTTAGGTTGGAATGATATTTTGGAATTTGTATTCTTCATCGAGTGCAATCTTTTATACATTTTGAAAACTAATGAAAAAATGTTTAAGTTCGAATTGCAATACTTAACTCAAATTAATAATGAAAGTTTTAAAAGTTTTAATATTTTTTTGAACATAACTTTAAGCTATTTTTAAGATTCCACAATATGTGCAATTTTTTTTTCCAAAATAAGCAACATTATTTCAAGTTAAATTGAAACATGACTTTGTAAAACCTAACCTTCAATTACATATGAATGCAAGAAATCTTAAGTACTTTTTCCTAAAACTCTACGTAACACTGTTCTTTATGCATTTAAAAACTATTTAACAAGTAATATTCATTCTTTCAAAAAACGTTTCCTTAAATTGTTGAGAATTTTCCAACAACATATGGAAGCTGTGACTTAATACAGCTTACTGACATGCATACATGTTCTATTCATTCTTGTTTTACTTGGAAAATGAAATAAATTCATTTTCTTTTCCCAAAGAAAATTGAAAATATTAAGATTTGTTTACATACCTACCAACACTTGCAAAAGTACCTACATATGTATATTTTTGTGAAAGAATTTGTTGATTTCATGTTTTGTTCAAGTTAACAGGACTTATGAATATACACATTTACATATGTAAATATGCATGTACACAATACATGAAAATTTTTTACACAAAATAATTGAAGCTTAAGAAAGGATTTGTCTATTGTCAAATACCACATATTTATAAACAAAATTTTAAAGCATTACTTACTTTTAAATTAAAAACTTATATAATAAATAATGTTTTTCTAAGAAAAAACTTACATAGGATATCATTGGAATGTTACGACTCTGAGTGACAATTGCTTCTACATAACAGTGACCCTCAGGACCAAATATCATGGCAATGCCGTCACAAATCATTTCCGTTATGGCTTTGGTGGCTAAAACGGTATCGCCTTTGGTATCGTTCCAGCGTAGATTTAACGAGACATTGGGCAGTAAGTTGGTATCACTATTGATCTGTTTTAGAAAAAAAAATCAAATAAAAAAACATTTTCATAAAGAAAAGTAACCATCAACTTACCTCATCCAAGGCCATGGTTAGAGCTCCGGATATAGCGAGACCCTGCTTATCTTTGAGCTCACCCGTTAAGGCGGTTAGATAGCCGACATTGATAATAGTGCGATTGTTCTCATCGCGCTCTACATTAAGACCCGGAACCAGTATTACTGCCACCGAGAGCAATTGTAAGATGATAAAGGGCCACCGCGTCATGGCCCCTTAGGCCGGGGCCGATCAGCGCGACACCTATGAGTAGCAATGTTTTTTACTGCAAATAGAAAAATAAAAAAAAAATTATTATTTGTTTAAGACGTATGAGTAATTTGTATTAAATGGTAAACAAATGTATATAAATCATACGTTCTGTTGTGCTCAAAATAAATTGTCTGTAAGCTAAAGTTGAGGGCGTATGATTAATTTTTTTGTTTTTTTAATAAGAAATAAATGTTACTCATGATACTGATTGTGTTAAGCATATGTTTAGTTTATAAAATCTAAAAAATTTTATTAATTCAGCAAAATTATTTGAAATTCAAGTTTATTATTTAAATAATTGTTTTTCACAAAAAGGATTTATTGCTATATAGGCGTTTCCAGATTTGGCGCATCAGCTCTGGTTGTAAGAAATGATATTTCATAAACCGAAGGACGACTTTTGTACACCTTCTGCAGCATGTTAACAAACCAAACACACAATTCAGGTAAATTATCTATGGAAGCTTGAGCCACCACTGCACCAGCTCTTTGACCATGTTGATGTGAATCAAAGAATGACACCATATTTTGAGGAAATTCAAATACAAATACAGTAGTACGACTGTCAGCTATTAAGGCAGCAAATAAATTTCTAGCTCGGCTATTGCTGGAAGGTTGTTTAAAGAGTTGCACGCCCAATTTTAAAACTTGAGTTATACGATTGGGCACTGAGTATTGATAGGACTCTTTTTGAGGATTTGCTGTTAGGTGAGTATAAAACCATTCACGTAAATCAAATGACATATTTCTTTGGCCGCCCAAAGCTGTTAAAGCTTCTGGTATATTAAGATTAGGAGTTTTTCTTTTGCTGCCTCCTCTACTAGTATTAAACATTCTACCATAAACTATATTACCCTCATTCATGGCATCACCAAATATTTCTATGGCACGTTTGGGTAAAGTTTTGCCAGGCTTATGAAATACCTCTTCTTTGGCCATTTTATCGGCCAATATTAGAGATATCAAGGTACAGGAATTGGTGCCACTTTCATAATATGCACCATAACGTGATTGACAAAAATCTTGTGGAAACCACCAGACATTGACGTTATGATGTTTTTCTAATACCGCCATTGGAAGTTTAAGAAACTGCACCGAATTTTCCTTGTTTACAACGGATGTAGTTAGAATTTTAAATATTTTTTTTTTTACATATTATTTAGTTTAGTTGGGAATTAACGGTTAATTTGAATGATTTTGAAACATTTGTTGGCAAGAAATTATTTATAAAACGGGAGGAAATTTTGAAAAGTTTGTAATAAATTTGTTTTGTTTTCTTTAATAATTTATTTTATTTATTCATTATAAAATGATAGTTTGGTAGGGTTGTATTACTTCAAAATTTGAGTTTGAAATTTTGAGGACAATACTCAATTTCTTGAGAGTTTTTATATATTTTAAACAAATTTTCAAAAAAATGCATTAATTTACTATTTACTTTACAGATATAATTTAAACCAATACTTTTCATTTATTTTTTTTTTATTAATTTCATTGTAAAGATTATTCACACATTCAGTGACCATTTAAATATTGTTATTTTTTTATATACATACATTTTAAATACAAATTAATTTGTTTATTTTTGTTTTTTTTTTTTTATATGGACCAGCATTTTTTTAAAATGCATGCGTTGCAGACATGTGAATTTCTATAATAAACAAACAAACACACAGCAACCATTTACATACAACAAAAACAATCATTACAAACTTTTTAAAAGACATTTACTCAGATAAATAATTGTATACACATGCATGCAAATACACACGTATGTAAGTAAAAATATATACGGACATGACAAAAAGTTACAGTTTTCACACATACAGTAAAACATACATATTTATGATACAAACAGTCAGCCATCATTCATTTGTTTCTATATTTGTATGTATGTATGTCTGCATGATTTGTATGAGTTTTCTCTCTCGTGTAGTACACGTATAACAAAAATAAACATGTGAATGAAAATTGTTTTCAATTAAAATCGAAAAAAAAACATACGCATGCATGAATATTTATTTACTCCCATACACTTCATTACACATTCTCTCACAAACATTTAAACACATACAATAAGATCAATCAAATGTCTGTTTTGTGTGTGTGTTGTGTTTTCCTGTATAAGAAAAATGTTTTGTGAAAAGATCTTGGCAATGAAATTATTTAAATTGTGTTAAAATATTTGACATACATCCTTAAGAGAAACTTTTTAAATATCATCAACTTCACATCAAAGTTGAATTATTTAAAATTGTATGTGCTAACAGTGTGAGGAATATTAAAAGATACAGAATTAATTGAATTAACACCGAAGTACGTATCTATCTAATAAGCCGAGACTTTGTTCTTACTCGCAGTGACACACTGTGGTAGCTCTGATATGAACGGAGTCTACTCTGAACATATCTGGACAAGAAAGGAAAATTCCATGGTATCAATTGTATAAGGTACCTTTCTCATTTATCCGACACACTCATAAAACAACATACCACAGACTCACTCTAGGTATACGGACGGATGAGTTCTAGAGCGCACAATGGAACAAGTACCTTTAATATCCAAAATACCCAACTTAAACACATTTTACTAAGAACTTTATATTTTGTTAGAATTTAGTTATCCCCACCGTACCACATACATACATATGTATGTATTAGAATCTTGTGAAACCAAACGGTATTTGTTTATTAATTCTTTAGAATTATTTTTAACCAAATAAGAAAATGTATGTTTTTAATAAGTTTATTTCTCTATAAATATTTAGAGTACATGTTAGCAATTCTGGGAAATTTTAAATTTCCCCCCCATTTTAATACTAAATAGACCGATTAAACATTGATTAGTTTACTGCCTTAATACATATTACAAACGATAAGACCAATGAACGATAAAGACTTAACATAGAACCAGCAGGAGAGGAAGAGGAAATGTAGAAGGGAAAATAGAAAATTAAGTAAATATTGAAACTATAAAAGGAAACCTATAATACAAATAAAATTTTAACAGTTTAGAAATAATTTTATAATAAAATTTTCATTTAATAGAATTTGATTTAAATTTCTTAAATTTATTTGTGGATGGGTGTGTATGTGTGTGTATTTATGCATATTTACTTTAGAGAGTAACTAAACTTAGCAAAAGTATTAGGTTACTCTTAGTTTAAGAGTAAAGCTTTTATATGTTACTTTTGTTATTTTCTTAGTGTTTGTTGTTGTTGTATTTCTTTTGTATTTGTATGATTATCATTACGTATTAAGAATATTGTACGTGACAAGCAATGGGACTAATAAAAACAAACATACCCTCACATTCGTACCCAGTAGTTCTGAGACACTGGTTTGAAATTAAGACAATCTCAATAAAATTATTAAATTACTGTAAAAAATTGTATAAATTGGAATCAGTGGAGTTAGACATTTAAAAAAAGTAATTATTCTTTAAAGCGGATGTAGTAGGGTGATCGACTCGATTTTTCAACCGGTCTTAAAACCGGTTTTTTCTGCTTTACCAGTGTCGGTTTTTTCTTAATGCTGATTTTTCGAATATCGAATAACCCGGTTTTTTCACTTTTTAAAAACCGGTTTCGAATACTTTTATTTGCTTTGTATTCAAAGATTATTTAAATGAAATTTTTAAGTAAATCATAATACAGCCCGTCTAAATTTTGAAAATATTCGAGTCGAGCAACTAGCGTATATTTTTCTAAAGCTCCTTTGGTTAAACTTTTTTGATTTTCCTAATTAATTAAAAAAAATTATTTGTAAAATTAATAACTGTTTGATAAAATTTTATCAATCTTAAAATTATATTCCAATTACAATAATTCATTTACGGCTGAAATTTCATGGAAGTGTTGGAATGCCTAAGCAAATTTTCTAAACAGGGCTTTTATAATAAGCTAGGATTACATAGTACCTTATGTTTAACAGAAGTGTCCCACTTTTTTCCTAATTTTTTTTATACTTTTTTTTACTGTTAAAAATCATTTCGGGCCATGTTTTATTAATCAAATTTAAACATAAACACTAATTTTTTCAAATTAAAATATATTTTTTTATTTATAATGAAAAACCGGTTAACCGGTTTTTTCTGAATTTAAAAAATATCAACCGGTTTTTTTTAAATGTCAAATATTCGAACTATTCGAAAACCGGTTTTTGGAAAATGTCGAATAATCGATCACCCTAGGATGTAGTGACTGCTGATAAAACTGCAGGGTTTGACTTAATATGTGCATAAATGCACGAGTACAATGTACATTCAACCAAGCAACTGCAGTGCAGAGCAAACAAAAAACAAAGTAATAAACAATATTAAAAGAAAAAACAAGAAAACAATAACAAAAAGAAAACATATTTTAAAATTTGAAAAAGACGTGACAAAAACCCTAAACTACACGAGGTGTTAGTGAACACTGAAGTGCTCTACAACAGCAGTAATTGTGTAAAAGAAATATTAATTAGAAAACATTTTTATGACAAATAAAAAAACTTCTATAATATTCCTTAAATAAAACGCAAAAGTAGCGCTGTACTTTTAAAAATTATGAAAAAAATCTAGGTGTGAATATTTTAAAAATAATTTCTAGCAACAAATTTAAGCTCTACTTATTTACACTTATTATTATTCTGAAAAAAAAATCTATTACTATTGCCTTTAAAAATTAGCAAATTGCAAACTTTTTCCCCCTCTTTATATACATTTTATTAAAAAATCATGCCTTTTATATATGTTTAATCAACAATTCCACGAAATCTCTAGCAACCAACATCGATAATTGATCATAATCAGTTGTCAAAAAAAAAGCAAAATAAATTTGTATAAATTATTAGCTAAAAATAAAAAAACGTTATGTACTAGTGAGTACCATATATTGAACAAATTTTTATACTGAAACTAAAAAAAAAACAAATACAAAAATCTAAGAAAAGAATCTGTAGCTGGAAAATATTTAAATAATATAACAACAACTTACAGCTATAGATACATGCATATAAAAAATACTAATAAATGTAAATTTTGTAGATACATTTGTATAAATATCTGTCTACTAAGAGTGGCATTTGTATGTGTAAATGTAAGTATTTACTATTTACTGCCATAACGTGCTTACAAAGCAATAGTTTTACTTATTTTTTTTTTTGCTGTTGTTGTTGGCACTAGTATTATTGCTGCCTTTGTTGTTGTTGTTTTTGCAGTCTATAAATAAATAACAGAAAAACCAGCTATAAAATAAAAATAAACTTCAAAATCTAAAAATAGATTTAACCAACGGAGTGCGATCGTTACAAAGTTGTGTAACTACTTCTACAATAACAGCAATAACAACAACAACGACAGCAGCAGCAACAACCATAGCTGCAGCAGCAGTAGACAACAGCAGCATAAGTACTATTAGTAGCAGCAGCAAAAACTTAACCAGCACAAATAAAGATTTTGATTTGTATTAACAAATGAAAAAAATACTACACTTAAAGAAAAAATTTGGTTGCAGCAATCATTGTTAAATTATTACTAAAAATCCAATAATATTATGGTCACAGCAAACGTAGCTGTAGTTGTCACAAACATATATTTCTTTGCTGTAATCATATTGATTATGGCAGGCAATTGAAAATCAGTTTAAGATCTCTTCATTCAGATTACTTAGAGACTTATAAGAAAACATAAACTTGTCTTAACTAACTGAGAATTATATTGATCTGTACAACCAATAAGCCTAATCTAATGCCGTTTTCCATAAAGCAATCATTGCAAAAAAAGTTTATATATGATTTATGCTAACAACTTAAATTATTATTATTACTCCTGCCGCATTGATTAAACGTCAGCTGGATAATAAATTGGCTTTATTGTAAATATTAATTTTATTGTTAAATTTATCCTTTTTTGTGTGAAGTTTGTTAAGAAAAATTCACATGAAGCATTTCCCTTGGAAAAATATATCAACATTTTTTCAGCTTCAATGATTTTTTTGTGTAACAGTTGGTTTTTTACATTTTCCCTATTTTTTTCATTTTCAAATATTGACGCATATATTTATGCAAATTAGAATAGCCTCCAAAAATTTTCTAAAAAATATTTTGAATTATTTGTGAAACTCAGAATATTTTAACTTTTCCAGAAATCTGAATAAATTCGTTTTAATGGGTATTGCTGGAAACCGTTTCAAGGGACCATTTTTAGCTCTATATAACTAAAGTCACCCTAATATATGATTGTATATAAGAAGATATAAATGTTAATCTCCGGAAAGAATTTTCAGTAGTCACGCCCTTAAAATGTTCATAGATTCGTGCC